TGGGAGGAGGGCGTTAGGTAGGGTCTAAGACAGCGCAGAGGGTGCAGAGTGGGCTCTGGTGTGGACCATAGGAAACAAATCTGACTTTGGCCTTTACCGGCCCTGGCTCGCTCTGCTCCACCCCTAGAGCTGGGATTGTCCGCCTGAATGAGCAGTTTGTCTACGGAGGGGGGCGACTTGTACAGAGCGGAGCAGCTGGTGTGGGGAGCTCAACCCTGGCCGTGGTGTGAGGCAACTCCGGGCATTGCTGGGTGGCCTGTCTCATTCCTTGTGTGTCTTACTGTATCCACTATCCATCCCACCCTTATTATTTATTTCTATTACAGCAGCATCTAGAGGTCCCAGCTGAGATCAGGGCCCCATTGTGCTTGGGGCTGTACATTCATAGTGAGACAGCTCCTACCCTAAAGCGCTTACAGTCTAAATAGATAAGGCAGACAATGGGTGCGAGGGAAACTGCGGCACAGAGCAGGGAAGCCCAAATCTCTTGATTCCCTGTCCATAGCTCTATCCCCCGGACCACTCTCCCTGCCACCGCCCCAGCACTTTCCCACCCATATGCAGCCGTTTTCCTTTCGGTGACGGATTTATTCATTTCCTCTCAATGAGTGCCTCTGCTTTGATGTGGCAGAATGATTTCCAGCCGCCTCGCAGGGACGTCTTTTACTCTGGGAAACCCCCTGAAAATGTCAGGGCTGGGGTGAGGTGGCTGCTTCCCGGGTTGGGTTTCCATTGCGGGTGGGGTGTAGGGGAGAAAAGCATCGCTTTCCAGAACCTTGCTCTGAGCCCCGGGCTCTACACACTGGAGCTGGGAAGCTGGGATGCCCTGAAAATTCCTCCCTGCCCCCCTTCCCACAAAGCCAGATCATCAGCTGTGTGAGGTTATGGGCCAGGCCATCCCTTTGTCTGTTCCTGCTCCAGTCCTTCTCTCTGTGCTTTCCCAAGCCTCTGTGATTTGTTCTGGATGTGCCCCTAGGGGCACAGGGAGTGTGCTGGGCTTCCTGCTGGAATTTAGAGCAGCCTTTAGATCAGATACCAGGATGACAGGTGTCTTTGATTAAGTTAGATGGAATGAGGGTGGAAAGGGGAAAGCTGCTTTAAACATGTTTCATAGGAGCAAATTCTGCCCTAAACTACACCTTTGTATCCCCATTAAATCGAACCAGGATTGCTGGGAGAAAATCAGGAGAGAAATCATTTGGAGTCAGTGAGAAAAACCATCGGAAAATCAATGGGGAAATCATTTGAGATCAAGGGAGAGGAATCACTGGGAAACTGGGGGGTGGCTTAGATGTGGCCTGTGATGTTTTTTAAGCCCTAAGAAAATTAGTTTTAGTTCTTTTTCTCATGGCAGTGCAAACGGCAAAGGATCAATAGGGAGCTGCTATCCGCAGAGGGTAGGCCACTCGTGGGTTCAAGGCAGATGCTCAACAGAGTAGCTTTCAGGATAATATTTATTCCCCTAGTCTAACAAAGTTTCTGGTTCAGTTTTTGAAGAAAACATCTTTCTGATGGGTTTTTTTTTTTTTTTTTACTGCTCCTATGACCCCTCTGTAATACTGTCTTACATTTACATAGCACCTTTCATCCCAAAGGGTCCTGGAGCACTGGAGCTTATACACCGTGTTCGAGGATCACTTCACCACCGCTGCAGGCATGCAGGTAGCCTGGGTCCTGTGAGATAGGACAGGATATGAGAAATGCAGTTCCCATTGAACGGATGACCAAGGAGGAGATTTTCAAAGTCTCTGCAAGGTAAGTTCTAGATTGAACGATAATGAAATTGTGATTCCATTTCAATGTCCCCTCCAGTTATTCAGAGGGCTGCATCATGAGACTGAGCTTTCTGCTGGGAAGGAAATGCTGCTCTTAAAGAACTGAGAAATGGTTGGAATGGAGGACGTGGTGTCCGGACTCTCAGCGAGTGTTCCAGCAGGACGCCTGGGTTCTTTCCCCACCTTTTGGGGAAAGAGTGGGGTTCACTAATTAAAGCAGAGACCTGGGAGTCAGGAGCTGGAGGTTCTGTTCCCAGTTCAGGAAGGTGTGTTGTCTGATGTTTGGAGCAAAAGAGTAGGAGTCGGGTCTCCTGAGTCCTATTCCCAGCCCTGCCACTGATCTGCTGCGTGACCTTGGAGAGCCGGGTTAACCTGTCGGTGCTTCAGTTTATCCATCTGTGAAACAGGGATAATAACACTTACCCACCTCACAGGAGGGCTGTGTGGGCTTAATGAATGGTTATCAAGTGCTCAGATGAAAGGTGCTGGATAGCTGCAAGGTATCATTATAAAGACGCCGAGCGCACCCAGATTCGTCTTGGCAGAAATAAAGAACTGTCAGGGCCAAAGGAAAAAACCCAGTGGATTTGCCTGCTTGTCAGCATGAATCTTACAAGCAGACGAAAGTGCAGCGCTGACGTTTCAACATCAAAGTGTCGGCCTTCGTTCTCATGGACCTGGGCCACTTCCTATCTGTAGCTACCAGGAAGCAGGAGGGTGGAGTGAGGGTCCCATATATCCCCCCGGGAATGGACGTGGTAAAGGGGGAACTCGTGCTCTGATATCAGTTATGAAGCCCCCTGCCCCGGCAGAAACAGGAGGAAAGCAGTGGATGTTAAGACATGGGGGCACAGATAAGCAAACAGGAATGTGCTCCTGCCAAAGCACAGGGCTGACCTATACCTAGGGTGATTCAGAGGCGTACTGCCTCCTAGTCAGGAAAGCCAAGGCACACCCACTGAGACATGCTCAGACGTCCCAGCTCCCTGGGTGTCACAACTCACAAGCGAGGCCAGCTCCTCTGTTGTAGCTGTTTGAAACGAACCCTCGTGGAAAACTGGCTGGGTCTTTATGGTGAGTGCAGCGGCTGGCCGGAGCGGTGTCAGGTCAGAGGAATAACACGGCCACTGTTTCAAACACCAGGAGTTTCTTAGCTCGGGTAATTATTTTTCTCTTATCAGGCTTGTCTGTTTAGATTGTAAACTCTTCAGGGCACGCTGTCTCCCACACTCTGTGTTTGTACAGCACCTCGCACAACGGGGCACAGCCCTAGCTGGTGTTTTGGGTGCTCCTGCAATACCAATGGTAAAGCAGTGCTCTCCATTTAGGATAGATCACTAAAGAGTGATCAACTTTTGCTAGGTTTTTTTATGCACCACCTTGTAGAATTGAATAGAGTATTCTAACGCCATGAAGGACCGTTTAAAAAACCTCCATAGAGAGGGTTTCGTTCTCTATTAGATCCTGTTAGATTTTACAGCAATTTCATACCGCTGTTTAATTTCTATACATCTTGGCTGGAATTTTCACAGACGCCTCAGTAAATGAGTTGCCTTTCAAAACCCCAGCCTCCATCCTTGCTAACTTCTTTACTATTCTCGCCCTTTTTCCTTTAGATGCTTGCTTCCTCAAGGGCACCTCCGACTTTTCTTCCACCAGGATCGCTCTCCCGTGGATTGTGTGTCTGAATTAGATCTTATAAAGAGCTCCAATCCAAACACTCTGTGCTGGTTGCTCTTTGGGCAGGACCATAGCCTGTGTATATGGTACTGGGCACAGAAGATAGTAGCAGTCATATTTCAGCAATGGCTAGAGGTGCTAACAGCAACGGGACCCCCTTGTGCTAGGTGTGGTATATACACATAGAGAAACAGCCCTTGCCCCCAAAGAGCTTACAGACTAAATACACAAGAGAAAGGGTGGGAAGGGAAAGAGGGACATACAGAGGAGACATGACTCACCCATGGTAACAGCAGGGCAGTGGCTGAGGTCCTGAATCCAGGCCAGCACTTTATTCACTGAACCACACTGATGGCTCTCTCTAAATTATAAATCTATGCTAGCCACTACATGGAAATGACACCCACGCCTATTCACACTTACTGACACTGCATCAATTCTGATTTCATTGGCACTGGTTTAAATCCAGAATAACTCCACTGATGTCACGGGGGTTACTCCAGATTTACACCAGTGGAGAATCTGGCCTATTTAATAAACTTGGAAATATTGGATTGTCAGGTTCGAGGAAAAAGCCATCGGTGTAAAAAGCAGTCTTAAAAAAAAGTGGCAGTAGATATTTTATCTAAAAATGTTACAAAGTCAGTTCCCCTAAAGCAAGATATAAAGTAATATCACGAGTGAGTGTGGAAATAGTGACTCCAAATGTAAACTGCCCTTGCAATTAAAATATTACACTAGAAAAGGGAATTTGTGACTTGACTTCATTCTGTCACTTTAAACAGTAATACTGATAAGTCTAATCATATGTTGCCCTCCATCTGAGTATCTCAAAGTCAGTGAGTTAAACCACAAAACCCAATATTGTCCTCATTTTGTAGCTGGGGAAACTGAAGCACAAAGAGGGGAAAGTGACTTGTCCAAGGATGGACGGTGAGTTAGTAGCAGAGTCAGGAAGAAAATTGGTCTCTCCTGACTTCTGGTCATGTGTCCTAGTTCCATGACAATCCTTCACACAGGAATATGTAGTCGTACTGTAAGTATATTGGGCCACAACTACATTGGTATTTGGGAGCATTAGTGCTGGAGGAGACAGGCGTTCATGCAACGCAAGGGAGGTTTTGATGATTTCTCAGTTTTGGCTCGCTGTCCCTTTTCGCTCCCTTGCTGCTGTTTGAAAATTGATCTTTTGAATTTAAAGAAAAACAAATTTGGATTAAAAACGTGGAGCTCAAAGACTTGAGCATTGGCAGAGGGATATAGTAAGCCCATGCTTGTCCCACATATCCCTCTCCCCACACCATACTTTGACTGCTTAGCTCCACTCCCACAAAAAAGAAATCAACTTTTTTTTCATTCCTTTTTAAAGTGGCTTTGTGGATTGTTGTGTCTGTTTGTTTGTTCTCACTGCTTTTTTTAAATTGTAGTGCCAACCAGCTTATTATAGGCTGCATGAACTCCAAATATCTCCAGCATGAAGGAAACTGGGTAATCAGCCCTGAATGCAATTTCCTGTGTGAGAGACGGGAGGCAGAGCTTACAGTCTGGAGATAGACTGCACAAACTTGTCCAGTTGTAACCTAACACTGCCCTGAAGAAAGCGCTGCACAGATAAAGAGAAGTGAAGTGTCTTCTTTATTTGAAATTGCAGGACATTCCTGGCAGGGACAAGGCACCAAGCAGGACGCTTTGAAGGAATATGTAAAGACGAAGGAAGGAAGACAAGTTGAAGAAATCTAGCTGAAGAGGGCTGGAGGAGTAGGGTGTTTGGAGAAGGGAGCAGCTGCAGAGACCTGAAGGAGACCTTCACATGGAGAGGACAATAGGATGATACCCCACTTGTGGGAGTTCCATTAAAGTGTAAACAAAAAAAGTGAGTTTCTCCAATGTGTCTCTGTATTCTTGGGGGAGTGGGGGGGAAATTGGCCGATCACAGGATTCCTCAACGCAGCTGGGACTGAAATGTGTCTGGAGGGAAGCTTATGCAGAGCTGGAGTTTCCTGCAGCTGAACAATCAAGCAAACTATTGTGCATGTGGATGCGGCAGTTGGGGAGAGGTGTCCTGCCGGGGTGAGTTAGAAATCCCTTCTTGGGGTTGTGTGGTTTCCTTCTTGTCTCTCCACCTAATGTCTTCATGCTGATTCATTCCATGTGAAGTACTCCTTTCCTCATGGCTGGGTTGTTTAGCAATCTTCAGTGAGCTTCTCTCTCTCACTCTCTTTCTCTGCATGTGGTGTGTCTGGCAGGTCCCAGTCAGATGTCCCAGGTGAGAAGTGATCTCTCAAGCCGTTCTGACTCACTCAATGGAGACCCCATGCCGGATCAGACACCCTTCCTGCCCACTAGTGCAGGTAAGCACAAGGGGCTTTTGTCTCTCTCGCTTTAAATTTACAGGGACTTGTCTCTCTCTGGCCACTGGCAGGAGCCCTAGGCTTCCCTGTTCTTTTTATTTGTTAAGTATAAGTCTTTGTCCAACTTTCTGGATTAGAAAGAGAATTGTAGTTCTTTGTGGCTGAGCACAATGTGAGCTAGATCCTCAGCTGGTGGAAATCAGCATGGCTCCTCTGGACTTAAAATAGCCAGGCTGCTTTACACCAGCCGCCATGTGCATATATCCACCGCACAATGGGGATCATCAGAACCCCAGCTGGTGAAATCCAGTAAAGCTAATGGAAGCACACCAGCTGATGATCTGTGGATGTGTGGAGGGGGATGGTGCCACTCGGACAAGAAACTTTCCTGGAAAGTTCCTGCAACTTTCCCATTCCCAATGGGACTTCACCAAGAGCCAGGATCAGTGGGAGCAAGGGCGCTGGGGATTAAAGGTGCTTGCTGAACTGTTTTCCCGGCTCGTGGAGGGGAGAGGATGTTTGCTCTGCTGGAGCCAAAAGGGTTAAAGAGCAGGCAGACTAAATGTTGCAGAGACTTATTGGCGAGGGGCTCACCGCCAGGCTTAAAGCCCACTACTTCCTTTCCCATTTTCTCTCTCTCTCTCCAAAGACACTATTGTGCTCTCGCATGGCTGGCTGTGTGGGATGGAACCTCTCCGGAGGGGAGAAAAGGGAGCTTGGGTTTCTTTCTGCTGCCTCCTGTCTGTGTTGCAGACCATGCAGCAGGAGCCCTGATGCAGCTGCACTGGGGCTTTGGCTTCTCACAAGAACTTTTGTGTCTATTCAGCCGCCGTGTGTTCTTGGGCTCGGGCCAGCTCCTTGCGAGATGCGGCTTCCCCCCTCCCTCACTCTGGGCCCTGATCCTATTAAATTTAATAACATTCTCTCGCCCCTGCTCCCTACCCAGAGAAAGCTGTCTCCTTTATTCCTTCCCCAGATCGGGCGTCAAGCCCCACAATCGGAAGGCGGGGAGGCTCTGTGTTGCTGTATGTAGGGGGCTCCATCCAATACCCATGGACTGGCCAAAGATCAGAGAAGATCAGTGCTCCGGTGGCAAACCATTGGGAGACCATGGGGCGGATCAGAGCCTGATCCTGCCACCCTTGCTCATGGCACGTGGCGCTGAGTCCCATTGATGCCTGTAAGATCACACAGTAAATGCTACTGACAAGGGGCCAGGGCTGCAGAATCAGGCCCTAAATAAGTGGGTTCCCTGGATCCCCGATTGCCTCCATCTCCTCCTCCCACCTGGAGCAAATCCAGTGAAATTCCACTCCCCGTGAGAGCCCTGATCTGGTTCCATGCATCGTGCTGTGTTAGCTGCAATGTGCTGGCTCTGCGAAAGCCTCCTCTTGGAGCGTAGCTATTGTGTGTGGGGAGGGGAATCGACTGGACCAGACGAGCTTTCCAGGCTACTAGATGATGACTCTCCCCCAGCTGACTCTGAACGAGTTCTCGTAGACGTAATAAGCGCTCCTGCAATGCACTAAGACTGCTCTAGAACCCGAACTCTACGGGAACGTTATCCCGTTGTCGTTATTATGGCAACACCGTAACGCCTTCATTTGCATTTGCCGTAATGAGAACGCTGATTGGGCCGGGGTCTTTGGCTTTTTCCGGGGGGGGGGGGGTGTCACGCACAGTTGGAGGACCTCCATCGTCAGCGCAATTGGCTTCTGCAGATATTTGCATGGAGAAACTAGACTGAAGGGCTGAGTGAGAGGAATGGATCAGAGCAGGAAACTGACCACTAAAGGTGAAACACAGCCTACCGTGTGTGCTGTCAGAATGAGACACAAAAGAGGCCAAATTTATTCCTGGTGTAACTCCACTGATGGACTTATCCTGCAATGTGCCAGGGCCCAGATTTCAGAGAATACATTCCCTTGTTATGTTCCCCCAACATTTCCAACCGGATACTGTGTTCCCCGCTTCCTGTCCCACACTCTTGTGTGCTGTTGCTGTTTGCTGTTCAGCGGCTGACATGTTCCACCCCAAAGGTGGTTTCATTTTAATGGTGGGTGAGCAGTCCATAACAACCGCTGCGGGGCTGGGTGGGTTTTACTTGGGAAGTTAGCCCGAGCCTCCGCTGGTACTTGAATCCAAGTCTTCAAAGTCCCATGCTAGCACCTTCACCACTGGGCTACATCTCTTCACAGCCTGCTCTTGGGGCATGGGACTTTGGCCTAGCTCTAGGTTGCTACATAGCAGAGGTTTGACAGGGCAAGAGTTCTCAGCTTTCAAAACACCAGAAGCTCCTACCCCTGTTTGCAAAGGCACCAAGTGCCATTGCTTACCAGGAGACGCTCACTGGTCCATGCAGACCCAGAGTTCCACCAAGAAGAGTCCATTCCTGCTCTTTGCTGAGGACTGAGGTGACATGTTTGTTGTTGTTTTTTATCCATCAGGGTAAGAGCAGCTGCTCCTTGCGGCCTTTCACTCTGCAGGATTTTCATCCTTGTTCTCAGGGCACTCCGGGGATGGCATCCAGTTTGTCCACACAGTGTTATTTGCTGACAGTTCCGTGCAGAAGCCTTGTCTCTTGGGAAGTTTCATCCGGCGATTCTGCCTCCCTGTTCCTACATCTAGGATTTGATCATGGGGATTTGAACCCAATAACCCTTTCAAATATAATTAAGGAAGCCAAATTAACTTGGTGAGATTGAGTTGATAAAATAGGTGGGGAAACTGAGGTGCAGGGAGGCTCAAGGCGAGCGAACATGTGGCAGAGCTGGGGACAGAATCCAGGTCTCCCCACTCTTAGTCCCATTCCTGACCACGGAACCATGTGGTTTCTACCTTGTGAAAAATGACGTGACCTGGATATTTCTTCTGGGATCTGTGTCCCCTCTCTTAGTGGCCGTCTCTGAAGATGGATCCCAGGTTATCACAACCTTCTTCTCACCGCAAGGAGAGCTGGACCCAGCTCCCTCTAGGTACCATCAAAGCAACCCCTTTGAATTACCAGAGGGCAGCACTAGAGAAAGATGAGAATGCTCTGGTTTCATGTCCAGCAGTGAACGAGTGAACACAGGCAGCCCATACACAGTCAGATGCCACCTTCGTATGGCAGCATGTTGGCTCGTACGGGCCAGTCTTTCTATGACCTTACTTTACCATGAATACCATACAGACTTCTCTTTCTTCCTCACTTCCCTAGAGCTGGTTGGAAAACATCAATTATTTTCTCATGTGGCATTTAGGGGCAAAGAAAATCTGGGGTGGGTTAGGGTTTTCTTTTTGGTTTTTGAAGAGAACTTTAAAACAATGTATTGTTTCACCCCCAAAAAATCTCCAGTTTCTTGATTTTTCATTTCCCTCCCCCTTTTCCAAAATAGAACAAATGGAGGAGACAGCTGACACAAAGATTGGGAAGGGTTGAAGAAAAAATGAAAATTGTAGAAAAGAAATGAATATTTGAGCAGGGTGGTTTTTTTGGGGGGAGGGGGAGCCATTTTCCATCAAAAAATTGGTTTTGATGGAAAAATTTCGACTAGTTCTACGCTCCTCCTCTCTCTCTTTCCCCTGCCCTCTTTCTCCTGGGTACACACAAAACCTTTCCTCCCCTCTTTGTCCTGTGCACCCCGGATAGTCTCTCTGGCCACTCCACACGCAGCATAAGCATCTCAGACCCAGTGAGCTCGACTCTGCTCCTGTCAGAGGCATGCCCAGCTGCCGGTGACTCCCCAGCACAACTGGGAGCAGGTCTTGGCCCAGGGTGTTTCGTTTCTTGGCTCCCCTTTGACTTCCACTCCCCGGCTTGGCTACAGCAGCCAGCAATTCTGTGGCTTCTTCAGTCTGAGCTGGGGAAGGGGGAGTGTACTTACCATGCGAGTGTGCGCACACACAGTGGTTTTTTTGATCATTCACAATGAGTTTGCCCTGAGGTATAACACGGGGCTGAAAGCAGTTCTGTCTCGAGGCTCCAGCCCAGCCCCCCTGTACTGCAGGCCCAGCCCCTGTGACAGGCCCAGACAATGCCTCTTTCATAGAGGGTGCAGCAGATGCCTCCCTCGGAGTGAAGCTTATCTGGAAATGGGAGCTCTGCTGAGCTGGGTTTGCTGGGGCGCAAACCACAGGTTGCCCTTCCCAGTCCGTTGTCCTGCCCATGCCACAGTCAGGATCAATGGAGGAGGCACTGGGACTGGAGGCCTTGTCCACACGGGAGAGTTTTTCCAGTATACGTTTTTCCACTACAGCTCTACTGGTGTAACTATGCCAAGAGACTGCGTCCACACCGCTTTGTGTACGCCGGCTTAAGCCGCTTCTCTTGTGAGTCATGCAGCTCTGTGCTTTTTCAAAATAACTGCACTCTTGGCAGGTCTCCCTTGGTGTCCTATTCCACCACTGCATTCTCTGCCTTCAGGGATTTTTCTCGTGTTGCACGGTCGGGTACCTTCTGGAACCTGCTGGCATCCTGGGACTTGGGGACAAACTAACAACTCCCATGATGCCTTTCCAGAATCATTTGGTTTTAGCAAGCCAGCACCACTTTCAAACTGCTGTCAGGCCGTATGGGGAAAGCCCTTCTGCTTGGCACGATCCTGACAGTCGGGGATACAGACAGTATTGGGGACTGAGGGATGGGGACTTTTGTTGTTTTGGTGGTCTCAGTCCACCTACCCTTCTGTCAGATGTGCTGCCAACTTGTCCTCACTGCTAAATTCGTACTTAAGACTCATCTACCTGCTGAGTTGCACCAGTTTAACGCCAGGTGATGCTTGAAACCGATTTAGGTTCTGTCTATACGGCGGTTTGCAGTGTAATTTCCAGATCGGGTAGCTATACCCACGTCCACACGGATTGAGCTCATGTGCTAGAAATAGCAGCATCACTGCAGCTGTACAGGTGGCGGGACAGCTAGCCACCCCAAGTACATCCCTGTCTGAAAGCTTAGGTACGTCTTCACACGGCTGGCCCATCGCACGGCCCATGCTGCCACGGCTACACTGCTATTGTGT